TGTGAAAATTGCATGCAACACTAATTATGAGAATGTCTTGCCAGGACAAGGTTTTCTGATTCCATTGTTTTCCCTATTCCTTTTAACTGTATGCTGGATTTGTCTTCCGTAGCGTTTTTAACAATGTTGATGGATTATTTATTTGATTGTACTGTAAATGACCTATTAGTCCAGTTTCTAGGTTATTTAACTAACCTGTTACGCTTTTTGAACACCAGAGAGCGCTGATAATCAGAATTCTGTAAAAGTTCCCTTTGCCAGTAAACGACCATACATACTAATAAACAAATCCGACTGTTAAGACATCCTGAGTTGACAAGGCCAGGTAGCATGAGAACAGGCTGTATGGGGCTGATTCAGACTCAGGAAATGTATGCCTTTCCTATGCACTTCTCAGTAGTTGGTATTCAGACTTGTTTATGGAGGTGCATAAGGAGGTTTGCGAGCGTGGTTCCATTGCACGCACTGAATACATTTAATTAAACTCCAGAAAACACACCCAATGGGTGGCCTACAAATTTGATCATGTCGTTTTTGTTCAATTAGTTTATCTATTAATTTCTCTAAAGCAATCCCTTTAAATATGGTGTACCTTTTAATTTGATCAGTGCAAGACTTGAATGTAGACTATGGAGAATGGTTCAGAATATAGAAAGATGGCCATGAAAACATTTGCATATTTGTCTCCGTTCAGTACACATGGGTAGCTGTAAAAACACAGATTTTACAAATAATTTATTTTTAGGGAATGAATCCTACTTCATGGAAAATGTGCCTTTATAGCACAAAATAAAAAGGTGGTTTGATTCATTCGGAATGTTGCCACATTCAGTTCATCAATGGTAATGTTGGAAGTATGATGCCCATATAATTATTATATGGAGAATAGAATACAATAGTATGGTTTAATAAATATACACTAATTGCCTGCGCTGATCATGAGACTGTGTGATGGCAAGTGCCAAGTCTTCAAAGTAACGGTGTGAGCTCCATAATGATTAAGAAGTCTATAGGTCCCGATTTATTTTTACTACAATTTGCATTTGGCCTTCATTAAATATTATCCACTATTACTTCACTCTCAGCCACAACCACAAGGACGTCACCGTGTTTACAGAGGAAAGAAATAAAGGTAGGTTAAATCAAATGATGTAATGGAATGATGCATATGTAGGGAAGGGAACAAACACTAAATTGGCAGTTGAATATAGGCCCTACCTGGTTATTACTTATGGTCGCTACCGATAGTGGCTAATAATATTGAACATATGCTATAGTCTACAAATTAAATTGAAGTTAACAGGAAAAGTAGGGTCATATGATTAAAACATTATAGGGAGCACAAAGGTTACATTTGACGCGACTTGCCTTGTCATCCAATTTGGCTTGCGCCTCAATCCCTACAAATTATAAGGCCATACAATAAAAATTCTGCATAATGGCACAGCATTTCATACTTCACTGTAGGAAAGGCGCATAAATAGGCCTACCTGTCATGTCAGTTTCCTGCCATGACTAGATTCACATTAATCTCCAGGTAAAATAGATCTAAAACAATTGTAATTTAGCCTATATTTACAATCCCCTTATCCAAACGGATTACTCATTTACATAATTATTAATTAGAAATGACAGCAATCTCCATGTCCTATCTGAAAATAAGAAAGTAGATGCTTTTTCTACTTGAAACCGACAGGTTCTCTTGACCTTATTCATGGATTCCTTGCGCATAAAGGTGTTGGAATAAAGTCAAAGTCAGAATATGGAGTATCTGTAGACACAAGCCGCCACACCTCCATTTCCTTGATCTCCAACCCAAACGCCTACCCTGCTGGCACTGGCATTTCCCCCATGCTTAAGGTAAAAATCAGAATATCATAGAGAGAAAACTGCATTAAAATAGGAATAAATATCATTTTACGCTAAACTCGGGTCTAAATTTCCCCCATATGAACAGACATTATTATATAGGCGTGAGAACATCAATTGTATCACTAATCAATCCTGTGTGTTCTGTCAGTGTCAAGGACACTCATTCCAGGGATTGGCACTGATCTGAACTGACCAAAAGCATGTTAAGGCAAAGTTCATGATGCTTTTGGGAAATCAGCCCTGGTGAAAGCCATCTTAATGAGCTTCCACTACATAGTTTTCACCTGTCAAGACTTTTCAAATCATTGCAGATGAATGGGAGATGAGGAGAGGATGGATTTTGAGCAGGATTTTGCAATTGAGAGCCTACATGGGAAATAATTTACCCTCATTGTGTGTGCAACTTATCTTACATATGAAATGTCTTACCAATTCCCTTCATTTTATGTGAGACCTAGGAAAGAAAAAACATAACACATCATTCTATGAAACATTATGCATTATTACAGCATAGAGTTTATTGCTTGTTTTCTGCAAGGGTACAAGAGGTTTATAATTTCCGCTTTTATTTTTCTTATTTACAGTGTCAGTTGAAGCTCACAGAGCAGCTGATGTGAAAAAACTATGAACACACACTGTAATAAATACAAAACAGACAGAGAAACAAAAACATTTTAACATTTCAGACAAAAGTTTTGCAAATTTAATCAGAAGAAAACTCATTTACACACAATACTTACACACACACACGGAAGAAAGGAAAGTGGGTTTTACACCATGTGAGAAATTGCACCGGTCGGCTAAAAGTGGCAACACTCGGCTGGCAAAGCATGCTACGAGAAGCAACAGTCCATATTGTCTGATCTCTTATCCAGAAACAACTCCACCTCTTCCAATACCATCTCCTCATAAGACTGAGTGAAAGTCAATTATGTTCGACGTAGATAATAGAAAACGGTACTGTATGTGTGCACTGGACATGAGCTTTGTGTGTGCATATCTATACGCGTATATATCTACAAAAAAGTCAATCAGTCCATTAACTATTTAGTAAATAGATGGAAGTTGCTGATTATAACGGCAACACGTGTCTGCGTGTGCAAAAATGTATTGTTTTTTTAATGCATTTTATTCATTTTCTGTAAAATTAAAAGGTTGCGTGTGATCCACCACATATGAACAATATCTTATACTGCACAAAAGCACAATTTCAGGACACTTGATAATTGTCTTTCTGAAGAAAATCAGCTTTACCTTTGAACACACTGGATTGGGTCTATTTTGTTTTGCGTGTACGCAGGTGAATACAGTCCATGGTCATAGTCCACGTCCATTGACTATTAAACAGGCAGCATTAAAAAACATTCAACAGAATTTTTCGCATGTCAACACACATTTTGCTCAGAAGGGACAAAATAATAGCAAATAAATATTGTTAAAAAGTCCATTCATGCAAGGGCTGTGGTAGAGGCTCTATTAGGGTCATTTCTAGATGGGATACAGCTTTTGTCAAATTGATGTCAAAAGGTGATTTTTATTAGCATTTTAGCTAACCCTAACCCTTTTCCTAACCTTGACCTAATTCTCCTAACCTGCTACGTTAATTCTCCTAAACCTTCTACGAAACGTCCATTTTGACAAAAGCTGTATTGCATTCTAGACAAAAACCTCTAGTAGGGGAGAGCGCCCTCTGGTCCCAACCTCAGTCTCTTAGGGGCCAAAAGGTTAAAAGGTTATGCACTCAGCTCTCCCTCAAAGAGAGGTCACAGGTTTGACCTGACAACGGCTTCCATAACCAGAAGATACTCTCCCCTTTCACAAGTCAGCCTCACAAAAAAAGGAAGATGACTTCACCTGAGAATAGAGGTCTGTGATAACACCAACATGCTAGCATGTAAATGAATAGAAAGAGGAACAAGCCATATACAAAATAGGTATGCATTTGTACACATATATACTCAAAATTACAGGTAGATATACTTTATCTGTATATTTCCATTGAATGCAGTATGGTTGGAATAAAATGTGGTATATTTATTTTAACTTAATAATATGAAGAAAGCATGTCCTTTGTCGCCATTCAGTTTGTAAAGTGCTCTAGAGTGGCAAGGGGAAAAAAATCTCCTGCCATCTTAGGTTGGATGTCACTTTGAAAACGCCGACATCTTCCTTGAATTGCTTTCAACTAGCCTGGTCCCTGGGACAGAGTTCCACTCAATAATGACCCACTTTGAGCGTTTGATAAGGAATTTCTATGATGTGATTTAAATGTACAATGTGCTATAATGATCTTTAGCGTTAAGTTAAACTCAGACTTTCACCAAAGCGCAACAGGTCTACTTTATGTGTAGCTGGACGGGGTGAGGTGTTGAGGTTAGCATGTCTATTAGCTTTTGATGTCAAGGTGGCAGGAAGTTAGCTGTGTGAGACTGTATTGGTCATCAGTAAGACCTAGTTTCTCCTGGTTAGCTCATGGTCAGGAAAAACTCCCTGGCCCTAGTCATCTACTCAGCGTTGACCTTCATATTTCTCTCTCCCAGACCAAAGCAAACATAACTTCTCTAAAATACTCTTGTTGCAGTCTGGACCTTGGCATTCGATCGCATCAGATGACCCCACCCCAAAAAAAAAATGCTTTCACGGAACGCACGTACTAGGCACCAGTTTTCTTCGGTCAGGAAAAACTCCTGGTCCAACACAAAACTGGTTGTATTTGGACTGTGGATTTCACCATTATAATTACATACATACATACATACATACATACAAGCTACTACAAAAAGAAACAAAACTAAAAACTAAATAAAAGCTGGCATTCTCGCAGGGTTTCAAGGTAAGTAATCGTCAATCGTCTGTAGCAGCTGAAAAAGGAAGTGATATTTCTAAAAAAGAATGCGGTGAGAGAGGAGAGTGTTCCCGTGTGGTCTACCTCTCAGTCTGTCCTTCTGCAGTCTTGGTCTCCATATTGTCTTGGGGGACTGGGCAGCAGAAAGGGGTGTGGTCACAATCCTCGTGGGCGTGCCTGAACGTTGCAGGGTTCCCGTGGTGACAGCAGAGTCTATAGTCTTGCTGCGCTGACCGCACAAAACACACACGCTGACACACCCACTTCCCCACTGATGTGTCACTCATTCCACAGCAAAGCCGCACGTCTCCTCGATGGCTGTCAGCAGCTTGTCGTACAGCTTGTCATAGTGCTCGTAGGCGGGAACGTCAATCCGGTTAAAGCTGGACAGAGAGGGAAGGGGAAAAGGGGGAGAGAAAGAGTTTGGAAGAGAGAGGAGTACATTTTTAGTTTGAGTGGACAGTTTCGAAGCACCTTTATAACTTCCCCTATCGATGAATGAATGACATTTTATTTTTGTGTCAAATTGCCAGTTGGCAACCCATCCCTTACGGGATTAACTGACACAAACAAACATTTCAATAATTCACTGTGATAATTTAGTGATCATTCTATCTTTAAACTGTGCTACATACAAAACATGAATATTGGATTTGGACATGCATTTAAAACCGGTAATACTATATTAAATGAGAGATTGGACACCCTTTTCATAACATGTCTTCGTCTCATTGACAGTTCATTGTTATTAAGAATATGTTGTTAATTGACTAACCTGTATAAAGGTTAAATGTATTGGGTAGCAGTGTGTATCTATGTGTCTAAGTGGAGCAGGGGGCACTGAGGGAGGTGGTACTGTAACTGTACTCACCAGGTGTGGGCTTTGGGTAGATTGTTGGTGTTGGCATCGATCTGGTGGATGGTGAAGAGCCTGGGCCCTGCGGCACCTGGAGGGTAACACACACACAGAAAAAGAGAGTCAGCATAAATTCTCAGGCTGTCCATCGAGAAAAAGAGAGTCAGCATAAATTCTCAGGCTGTCCATCATTACATTTCTCTACACATAGATGTCAGACAGTTCAGGACAGTTGACCAGTTGAACTCACTGTTTAGAACATGAACAAACATGGCTGCTGTTTTAACAACACTGGGTGTATATTTGATATACTGTATATTTTCGTTCAGAAAGCCAGCTGGGTTGGCCTCAGACACAGACAGAGACAGACAGAGACAGACAGAGACATACAGGCAGGCGCACACAGACAGACCGACACGCAGACACACATACACAGAGACTCACACACACAGGCACACACGGCTTGCACAAAAAGATCAACTCTCAAAAACACACACTCAGAAACACACACACAGCTGCACTCTGAGGTCTTCTGTTCCCCCAGGGCTTCCTGTCTGTCTGGATTTAACCAAACCCACTGAGGTCGACCACGACTCTGTCATGGAGACGGGGTCACCTCAGGCAGTCTGAGAGAATCAGTGTTTTCCACTAGCATCGGCCGTCGGCTATATAGCCAGTTACAAACTCACTTTCAGCTGGGTACTTTTCCCACTTAAATTAATTCGTTTTTTTTACAATTCGCAAGTCAGAATTTTACATATTCTAGCGATCTATTGATAGGACAGGCGCCTGTCAGTCACAAAGTGAGCGATGACAGGGATGCACCGCTGGTTTGACAGTCTGCTGTCTGTCCCGCCTCCCGCTACCTGGGTGTGTGTTTTGTGTACGCTGTGGTTACAGTCACATGTCTTTACACGGAGGGTGAGAGCATGATGCTCTTTCCATCGTCTATGAGTCAATTTGGTAGAGCATGGCGTTTGCAACGCCAGGGTTGTGGGTTCGATTCCCACGGGGGGCCAGTATGAAAAAAAAAAAAAAAATGTATGCACTCACTAACTAAGTCGCTCTGGATAAGAGCGTCTGCTAAATGACTAAAATGTAAATGTAATTTGCACGTCCCATATAAATGTGGTGATGAGTCGAAATCCACTTAGCCTATTGTTTTCTGGCACATTCATTTATTTTCTTTCGCGTATTTCATATGCAGCCACAAAGTGCTAGTGCAAAGGCTTACTGTGATTTGATTGACAAAACATGACTAGTTTAGAACTGGTGTCGAACTGACTGAATAAAGTCGATCTCATATATCCTTGCTATTCATAAATCATACAACGTCGCATTGGTAAGATAGCCGTTCATTTGGCTCCCTAATTTGCATACTGGTAGGCTTTTTGGTGATCATCTGCAGATAAATTCTGAAAACAATCAATGAAGATGGTGAATCCTCCTCACTGCAGGTACAATAGGTAGGCTAGTGGAGCGATAGCCTCACTCTGCTCCAAAATTTGATAAAAGAAAACAGATTTAATTGTTTTAAAAGCTAATGATGCTTACAGTTGCTTCAGAAAGTATTCACACCCCTTGACTTTTGCCACATTTTATTGTGTTACAGCATGAATTTAAAATAGATTAAATTGAGATTTTGTGTAACTGACCCTACACACGATACCCCATAATGTCAGTGGAATTTTTAAAAACTAATTAATAAAAAATTAAAGCTGAAATGTCTTGAGTCAGTAAGTATTCAACCCCTTTGCTAGGGAGGTTTTCCAATGCTTCGCAAAGAAGGGCACCTATTGGTAGAACAAACAAAAAAAGCAGAAATGGAATATCCCTTTGAGCATGGTGAAGTTATTAATTACAATTTGGATGGTGTATCAATACACCAAGTCAGTACAAAGATACAGGCGTCCTTCCTAACTCATTTGCCGGAGAGGAAGGAAACCGCTCAGGGATTTCACTGTAAGTTAAGTTGTAAAGTTAAAGAGTTTAATGGCTGTGATAGGAGAAAACTGAGGACGGATCAACGACATTGTAGTTACTCCTCAATCCTAACCTAAATGACAGAGTGAAAAGAAGGAAGCTTGTACAGAATAAAAAATATTCCAAAACATGCATCTTGTTTGCAATAAGGCACTAAAGTAAAACTGCAAAAACATGTGGCAAAGAAATGAACTTTATGTCCCGAATACAAAGCGTTATGTTTGGGCCAAATTCAACACATCACTGAGTACCACTTCATATTTTCAAGCATGGTGGTGGCTGCATCATGTTATGGGTATGCTTGTCATCGGCAAGGACTAGGGAGTCAAGATGCTAGAGGAAAACCTGGTTCAGTCTGCTTTCCAATAGACACTGGGAGACAAATTCACCTTGCAGTAGGACAATAACCTAAAACACAAGGGCAAATATACACTGGAGTTGTTTACTAAGACAACATTGAATGTTCCACAAGTGGCCTAGTTACAGTTTTGACTTAAAATCGGCTTTAAAATCTATGACAAGACTTAAAAATGGTTGTCTAGCAATGATCAACAACCAACTTGACAGAGCTTGAAGAATTTTTAAAAGAATAATGTGCAAATATTGTACAATCCAGGTGTGCAAAGCTCTTAGAGACTTACCCAGAAAGACTCACAGCTGTAATCGCTGCCAAAGGCAAAGGTATTGACTCAGGGGTGTGAATACTTATGTAAATTTGCAATTTCTGTATTTCATTTTCAATAACTTAGCAAACATTCCTAAAAACATATTTTCACTTTGTCATTACGGGGTATTGTCTGTAGATGTGTGAGAAAAAAATCAATTTAATCAATTTTGAATTCAGGCTGTAACAACAAAATGCGGAATAAGTCAAGGGGTATGAATACTTTCTGAAGGCACTGTAAACACACCACCCATTCCCATTCCCCCCCCCCCCCCCACACACACACACACACACACACACACACACACACTCCCCAACTCTTTACCTTGTAGAGCCTTGAATCCCTGCAGTGGGACTCTAGATGACCCGGTAACAAACTGCAGCAGTCTGGCCCTCCTCTCCTCATCGTAGGACTCCACGGCCTTCCAGAACCACTTGACCACGTTGCTGTCCGTGGTGCAGTGCTTCAGACGTGTGTTGCTCTTCCAGTCCGCTATGTCGATCTTCCCCAGGCCACACACGATCAACTGGGGTAGGGAGGAGAGGGGAGAAAATAGTTGATTAGATGGTTTGAAGGGGTGTATATTCGTGGGAAATAGTATGATAGCTGTCACCTTTCATTTCATTTAAAAAGTATATCCCATGGTCTCAGATTCATTATGGAGCCTTTTTCCCCCCATTCAGGATACCCACACAAAGATGTATGCTCTTGAGAAATGATGTCATGTTTCCAGTAAGTGAATCATTTCTTTCCTAAACCATGTTAAATGCAACTGTCTACATACCTCTAGTTCCTTCTCGTCAAAGGACTTGAGCAGGTGCTGTGGGATGACCTCGTTGAAGCCCTTCTGCAGGGCCAGGAACTGAGCCTCGATGCCGTGGAGGAACCGCCAGTTCACATACAGCCTAGAGAGAGAGAGAGAGAGAAGGTAAGACCTAAGTCAATACAACATTGCAACATGTGAAATCCACACAGCAGTTCAACCAAAACCAGGGCTGGGGGACACGTCTGGTGCTGTGCTGGGGGGCGTTGAGATTTGGCCTAGTGCGAGAGGCGAAGTCCTTTGAAATCCTTGGCCATCTATGAGCCAATAGAATCCCTCCCCTTCCGAAATTCAAAGATGCCAGGTAAAAACCATCTCCGCTTAATCGTGATTCGTCCAAATAACAAGTGACGTAAAAACCAGCGCGCCAGAGGAATTATTCCTCTTAACCCTCATATCCCCTATGTTCCCGACAGACGTAACTTCAGTTACGGATGGGGGAAGAGACTACTGTGCTGGTAGCTGCTGTCTTGGTTGGACCAGGTCTCTCTTGAAAAATTCATTGTATCACAATGAGACTAACCTGGATAAACAAAGGTTAAATCAAATTTAAAAAATGACACCCATTGATTGTAAGACAAACGACATCATTCCATCACAAGGTATGTTTCAGGTGTATACTTGAGATGTGAGGGATGATGATGATGGTTGCTGTGTGTATTGTGTTGGTTGTGTGTACGTGCGTGCGTGGACCCAGGCAGCGGCTGCGGTCTCCTCCTCCATACCTGACATACTCCTTCTTGGTGTCCTCGGAGACAGAGACACTCTTGCCGTTGGGCTTCAGTTCATGCTGGATGATCTCTCCATAGGCATTGTGCTCCACACAGAATGTATGGTCCAGCACCCCTGTAATGTCATTGTCCCTGGAGGGGAGAAGACGGAAATGTTAGTTAATAGTTGGACGTTTTAGGATGTCTTGTCAACAGAGGGCACTAGTGTTGATGGGAGAGTAGTTTGTTCATGGCGTTGTTTTAGTGGCATTTCATGGATACAAAACAACCAACAACATGTCAGTTTAAGGTTGGAGTTTGTATACAAGTGCAAACTCAAACATTACACACATGCTATCCTGTGTGTGTATGAATATGTATGGCTGTGCTTGTATGTATGTCTCCGGGTGTTCACGTAAGTTCAATTGTGCATAATTGTGTCTGTGTGTATATGTGTGCATCTGTGTGTGTACGTGTCCAGGGCTCTAAAATCATTTTTTTTTGCACTGGTGCTCCCAACTTAAAGTTAGGAACACCACATACAATTTAGGACCACTAGAAAATACGATTTTTTAATTGATTGAGATAGCCTTTATTGGGCCTATATGAATTCTAGCAATTTTTTAAGCAGATTTTGTGCCCTAGAAACTAATATGTAAGCCTGTAAAGGCATTTGTTTATTATAATTAGGTTTCTACATTGTGTAAAAGCACTGTTTCCTATTGAGATGCATTATATTGAAAATTGTACACTGTCTCTTTAAGAATGTCAGTGACATTTGATTGACAACATGCAAATCAGTCATTAATTCATTGCTATGATCATTGATCTTCTGAAGAAGCTATCCCTTTTCCATTCTTTCAGTGCCCCCAAATGTTTGCATATACTTGTAAAGTTACCAGGTTGTTAGCTAGCTAGCTAATAAGGTACCATGACTGAACAAGGTGTTAACGGCACGCGAGTCATTTTAGAACGGCCCACGACATGGTTTATGAATGTAAAATGCGTCCTGTCACTGGAGATGCTTCCAGCTGCAGCGCCAATGCGCTATAGAAGGAAGAAATGTAGCGCAGATAATATGGGTCACAACCTTTGAACAGTTTGGGATAGAGACGAGAATAGTTTTTTTTTTCTTCTCTAGGGCACTCGGAAACAGCGATACAGTGAAGCCTAATCATTACAACAATTATTATCTGGCAGTTTTTTTTTTCTAGGCCCACTGATGCTCCCAAATTAACATTCCAAGTCACACAGCAAAATATTTAGGAGCATATGCGCCCAAAATGGTCGCACTTTAGAGCCTTGTATGTGTCTGCTTGCATCGGTGTCTCCTACTCACAGGATCCAGACGAGGCTGTTGTGGAGGTCTGGGTCGACTGACTCCATGTCGTCCAGGGTGATGGGTTTCCCCAGCAGCTGTTTGTAGAAGGGCAGGGTGAAGCCCCCGTCTATGTAGTGGCCGTGGAAAACCGCCATGCCCATGATACGACCCACAAAGTGGAAGTAGGACAGGTGCTCCTGGAGGAGAGGAAGGGAGAGATGAGGTTGGCATCGATGCATATTTTGGGGATTGACGTGTGAGTGTGGTCACTATTGTGTTGTAGAGAAAAGCTTGATATAAATGTAGCTTATTATACCGAGGTCCCTCCCCTCTGACCTTCTCATCCAATGAGTTCACGAGGAATCAAGAAAATGCTATTCACATTCTCCCCATATCTCCACCTCCTTCAGTCTCCCTCTCTCCGGAATTCTGTATGCGGCTCATTCTCCTTCCTCCTCTCTGTTATTATGTGTCTCTCTATGTATCCATTTCTCACCGGGTTGACAGCGCTGTCGGGGTTGATCTGCAGGGTGTAGATGTCGTCTCTGGAGTACTGGAACAGGCCGTAGTAGGGGTTCAACATCTCATGGGACAGCAGGTACAGCCACTCCCTATTGGACAGACAGACATCTTGTCAGTCACGTGACAACAGCATAATAAACACACCATTATTTTGGGTTGCATGTTGGCCACACGCCCCACAAAAGCTTTTTTAACGTGAATTTCCACAGAGGTTGTTTGTTTCTGGACTACTGCCCTATGAGCAAAATATGTTGAAAAGTCATGTTTTTGGTTGAAAAGACATTGAAAACCATTGATTGACTGTTTTGCTCACTAGGTGGACCTCATGGTATTACTGAACAGTGTTTGAGCCTGGTGTGGATGACTGCAGTACCTGGCCACTCCTCCGTAGTCCAGGCCCTCCTCTCCTCTGAACTTGACCATCAGTCTCTTCCACAGGTCCTTGGGACGCATCTTCATCACCTGGCGGTACGACTCCTGTAACACAACAAACGAGGGCATGGGTATGTTAACCTTGGGTGTGTTCACTAGGAACCAAACGGAACCAAACGGGGAGGGTCCTACCTGAATTGATCCAATAGAAACTCTAGTTTTTGTTGCAAAATGTTTTGCTACAGTTTGCACTAAGGAATACACCCCTAATCTTAAAATGGGCCAACCTGCAGGCCATTCATCTTGACCCTCAATCATACTGTTTCTGTTCTAAACAGTGAGTTGTTTTATACAGCAATAAGAGCAACAGTGGATTACAATGTGCCGGATCCGAATTCCACCAAAATCGTTTTATTTTTTTAAGTGGGGCAGAGAGTACAACAATATGCAGTCGACAATTTACCATTGTCATAATACTCCCTCAGATTAGTAGACTCACTATCCAGAACTGTTTGACAGCACTACACTCCTCTCCTCTTTCGCTTTCCCTCTTTCTCGCTCTCTTGTTCTCTCTCTCCTGGTAGACTAGGCCCTAGTGGTGCCTGGGGGAAAGCAGCAGGAATGCACCAACACCATGACATCTGTGCCTGGGCAAGAGAGTGTGTGTGTGGGCTCTATGTGCACTAGCACCCTTTACATTACGTAAAGGCTCGCTCTCTCTCTCCTCCCCCTCCCTCAAAAACAAACTCCTGCCACCACAGCACAGAGCTGTGAGGAGTGTTGCAACTGTGAATGCAGCAACGCACAGGAAGCAGGCTCGAGGAGAAGCAAGGGTTATTAGTTAGGAAATTACAGTGCACTGGTCAGTTGCAAACAATGCCATCAGTCCCTGTTGAAAACCAGACTCAATCGCAGGCAGGGTGCACACACACATACTCGCTTTGCTTTCTCGCACTTGGTTTCCCCCTGGCTGTCACGTCCCGAGGATTGAGTCATATTTTCTCATTGCTCAAATTGTACCGCCGAGCGATGTCTGTCCCCGAAACTTGCCACTACGGCCTCCCTCCCACTCTCTCATCCTGAAAGAATGCCTTGCCGTGGAAGAACAGAGGATTGGGAGGAGGAGAAGGAAAGATGGAGCTGTGGTGTTTGAAGGGGCCTTTTTGGCTTGGTTTATACTGCGAATCGAAACTGCACAGTTGTCGTAGGCCTTTTCTTGTAGACTGTAAATGGGTGCAAAGCAACCTAGAAATCGTATGGGTGTGCATGTTTGAAACTTGTAACGGAGTGTGTTTAAGTATGTTTAGATATATTTTCACTTCTTACAGTATAAAGGCTTGTTTGGGTTTTATGAGCATGCACTGTATTATCAGTTTTTACATGTATGCATTTGAGTGTGTACACTGAGTATACAAAACATTAAGAGCACTTGCTCTTTCCATGACATAGTCTGATCCCTTATTGATGTCACTTGTTAAATCCTCTTCAAAATCAGTGTAGGGGAGGAGTCAGGTTAAAGAAGGATGTTTAAGCCTTGAGACATGGATTGTGTATGTCTGCCATTCAGAGGGTGAATGGGCAAGACAAAATATTGAACTGCCTTTGAACGGGGTATGGTAGTAGGTGCCAGGCGCACAGGGCTGTCAAGAACCGCAACGCTGCTGGGTCTTTCACGCTCAACAGTTTCCCGTGTCTATCAAGAATGGTCCACCACCCAAAGGACATCCAGCCAACTTGACACAGCTGTGAGAAGCGTTGGAGTCAACATGGGTCAGCATCCCAGTGGAACGCTTTCGACACCTTGTAGATTCCATGCCCTGACAAATTGAGTCTGTTCTGAGGGCAATATTAGGAAGTTGTGTGTAGGCTACTTTAAAATGTATGCTTGATTTGTGGTAGATGAGTGAGTTATGCCTCTCAATGTAAAGTGAAAAAGCACTACCTATATACATGCAAATGCAATCCATTACGATACAGTATAAATTAAGCCATCAATCATACACTTGTACAGGGTTTTCACACAGGGTCCCTTAGTTTACCTCAAAGATCTCCTCGCGGCAGACCTCGATGCGACAGTGTCCTGCCTGGGGCTGCTGATTGGACAGCTCCTGCCGGAGGATCTTGAGCTTCTGCACCAGGTCCCTCTTGTACTTGGGCACGGTGAGGCACTCGGCCTCCTCGGGGAGCTGGGCTGGGCACAACACCGGGACCTGCGGGGGGGGCTGCTGCTCCTTCAACTGGTTCGACTGACGACTACTGGGGAGGGAGACACGAGCAGAAATGATAAAATGTTAACAGTAAAAGAATGCAATATGAAATCAAACATTTTACATTTGAGTCATTTAGCAGACGCTCTTATCCAGAGCGAATTACAGTTAGTGAGTGCATACATTATTTTTTTTATTTTTCATACTGGCCCCCCGTGGGAATCGAACCCACAACCCTGGCGTTGCAAACGCCATGCTCTACCAACTGAGCTACATCCCTGCCGGCCATTCCCTCCTCTACCCTGGACGACGCTGGGCCAATTGTGCGCCGCCCCATGGGTCTCCCGGTCGCGGCCGGCTACGACAGAGCCTGGATTCGAACCAGGATCTCTAGTGGCACAGCTAGCACTGCGATGTAGTGCCTTAGATCACTGCGTCACTCGGGAGTCATCAAACACAAGACAATTATAAAAATATGGTATGAAATGATTAACACTATCTTTCTCTCGCTCTATTGTGTATTGTTTTGGCAATAGTGGACTGCTCCTTTAATGGCAATGCAGCTTATTTGAATTTAGAGAGCGAGAAAGAGAGAGAGGTGGTGTGGACTGTGGAGAATACGGGGTTAAAAGTGCACGTGTTCAAAAGAACCCCTTCAGGGAAACCTTAGGACTTCCGACAAGCCCTTTAACTGGAACTTTATAGAACCCCCCCTCTGCTATTTCTCCTCCCCAAATCTCAGAGTCAATCTGAACTAGATCTTTGGCTAGACTGGGACTTCACTGCACGTCAAGGTGATATTACCACAGGGCCAAGAGAAAGAAAGAAAGAGAAGAAAAAGAGATGCACACAAAGGCCAAGTGTTGTGAGCTGTGAGGTGCTGGTGGCTGGCGCCTCTGGGCTCTCAGCTCGTGGTAGACGAGAGGGAGTTGTGGTCTGTCTGCCTTTTGCCCTCCGCCACCTCATTCTCTCCTTCCCTCTCATTCGGTGCTGGCAGACTAATTAAATATGCAAGCTTCGCTTGGTAAGACACCTCCGTTTCCCTTTAAAGCCTCAAAGCGCCTTCAAAGTGAAACTGGCGCCTTCGTCGCTGCCCTCTGCCACCCTGCCCCTGGCTAACCGCGGCTGGGGCCACCGCTGCCCTGGCCCTGTACCCACGTCAATCTATGCCCGTATGGGATGGTTACATGCCTGGATGGGCCTCGTAAAAACACAATTCACTCAACAACAAAAAAAAAGGGCCAGAGTTTCCAACAGGACAGTACTATACAGAAGACGGAGCTCCTAATAAAAGGACCTACTGTCCAGTAGAAGTACAGTTGTGGTTCACAGAGAGGAAGTTCTTTAAACCTGTGTCTGAGAGGGGAGGCCACAGACAGAACAGAACATAGCCACCCACACACTTTCTCACACACCCTCGTTCACCCCGTCACTCCCTCATTCTTCAGGGGTGGGAAAAAAATAAGTGTTATATTTGGAGTTCTCCAAACTAAACGGGCCCAGTGTTCCGCCGGTCGGTATCCCTGTATAATCAAGTCAGCTGGTATTTATTTTATTGGCAGTGTCGAGGCCCTTCCATGTCAAAGTGAGGGTAAGGCTCGGCTCGCAGGGCTGAAAACCACTTTAGGAAGACACACACGGAAAAGAGGCCCTTAAACAAAATGGAATGAGTTTCTCTTGGCTCGGGTTGGGAAGCCCTTGAACCATATAATAAAGCATCATTTGAGCGTTTTCGTCCAGGGCACGGTGTAATTAAAAATAAGTTTCGCATATTTCGCCGTCTCGGGTTCCCAATTCGGAATGACCTCGGCATATTTCTAACTGTAAATATAGAAGTACAAGTGCGGCTCAGTCAAAAATCACTCTGGCACGGAGACACACGAGGGGAAAGAGTCGAGGGTTCCTTTCTGGGACGGGCCTCGATGAAATACGACTATCCGGGTAGAAAGACAAACTTTCAAATTCAATCTAGGAGTATTATTGTTATTCCAAGGTAGGAGAACAAGGCGAGGCGAGAGCAAGTGTTGCCAGAACAGGATTCGCTGGACCGAAGCGGTCACGATCATGAAGTTGGCACAGGTTCGGTACAGAGGTCCCAGCGAATCAAAAGCTCCTTTATTGAGCCTGGCGCTGGCGGGTGCTGGGAGCACTAGCCCGCTATAACCTCTCTCTCCCTGGCCCTTTACACTTGGTGTGAACAGTGGGGAGAAGGCCGCCAAGGGTCGTCCAAGCGGCGCTGCCGTGCTGACTACTACCCACAAAGGAGAGTGTGTGTGGCGTGCCGTGGCGCTGGAGGTCAACCCTCAATCATCTTCCCTGGCTCCGGAAAGGAGGGGAGATGTTCCCATTGGCAGTGAATGGGAATGGATGGCTAAGTTCTCCCTAAGGGAAGACAAGGGAAGTATTGCACATCCAAGTCATCCAAGGACTACCCTAGCCCCACAAAGGTAGCTTTCACAAGCCTGGGGCTGCCTCACTGTCTGACACTCAATCAGAGCCCCCATAGACACTGACAATAACACTGTTTACAGACAGGATGTTTACAGTATTTAGGCTACATAAAATGCACCTATATGCCACAAAGACACAAACAAAACATGAAACTAAAAATACAAAGACCCATCCAAAGACCCTGACAATATAACACTCTGTTTACAGACAGGACGTTTACAGTATTTAGGTTACATAAAAATGCATCTACAGTGGGGAGAACAAGTATTTGATACACTGCCGAATTTGCAGGTTTTCCTACTTACAAAGAATGTAGAGGTCTGTAATTTTTATCATAGGTACACTTCAACTGTGAGAGACGGAATCTAAAACAAAAATCCAGAAAATCACATTGTATGATTTTTAAGTAATGCATTTGCATTTTATTGTATGACATAAGTATTTGATACATCAGAAAAGCAGAACTTTATATTTGGTACAGAAACCTTTGTTTGCAATTACAGAGATCATACGTTTCCTGTAGGTCTTGACCAGGTTTGCACACACTGCAGCAGGGATTTTGGCCCACTCCTCCATACAGACCTTCTCCAGATCCTTCAGGTTTCGGGGCTGTCGCTGGGCAATACGGACTTTCAGCTCCCTCCAAAGATGTTCTATTGGGTTCAGGTCTGGAGACTGGCTAGGCCACTCCAGGACCTTGAAATGCTTCTTACGGAGTCACTCCTTAGTTGCCCTGGCTGTGTGTTTCGGGTCGTTGTCATGCTGGAAGACCCAGCCACGACCCATCTTCAATGCATTTACTAAGGGAAGGAGGTTGTTGGCCAAGATCTCGCGATACATGGCCCCATCCATCCTCCCCTCAATACGGTGCAGTCGTCCTGTCCCCTTTGCAGAAAAGCATCCCCAAAGAATGATGTTTCCACCTCCATGCTTCACGGTTGGGATGGTGTTCTTGGGGTTGTACTCATCCTTCTTCTTCCTTCAAACATGGCGAGTGGAGTTTAGACCAAAAAGCTCTATTTTTGTCTCATCAGACCACATGACCTTCTCCCATTCCTCCTCTGGATCATCCAGATGGTCATTGGCAAACTTCAGACGGGCCTGGACATGCGCTGGCTTGAGCAGGGGGACCTTGCGTGCGCTGCAGGATTTTAATCCATGACGGCGTAGTGTGTTACTAATGGTTTTCTTTGAGACTGTGGTCCCAGCTCTCTTCAGGTCATTGACCAGGTCCTGCCGTGTAGTTCTGGGCTGATCCCTCACCTTCCTCATGATCATTGATGCCCCACGAAGTGAGATCTTGCATAGAGCCCCAGACCGAGGGTGATTGACCGTCATCTTGAACTTCTTCCATTTTCTAATAATTGCGCCAACAGTTGTTGCCTTCTCACCAAGCTGCTTGCCTATTGTCCTGTAGCCCATCCCAGCCTTGTGCAGGTCTACAATTTTATCCCTGATGTCCTTACACAGCGCTCTGGTCTTGGCCATTGTGGAGAGGTTGGAGTCTGTTTGAGAGCCGGAATTCTTACTGGTTGGTAGGTGATCAGCATCTATATGCCACACACTGTGACACAAAGAAAACACAAAACATTAACTTCAAATATATAAAGATCGCTTATAAAGACAATTATTTTATTCATTCACTCGCCTTCATTTCACCAGGTAAGTTCAACGCCTCATGCGCACCAAATATAAACGACTTGCTTGAAAAATATAACGCAGACATTGACGTAATGCTGCAGAAATATACATGTGAGCGACAGGAGACACTGTGGCTGAGTGCAGACCACAGCAATGTGGATGTGTGAGACTAGCAGTCTGAAGGTATTTTCCAGTCTGAGGCTGAACCAGCCAGTCAAATAAAAAAAATGGTCGGTGCTGTGTTGACAAAACAGCAGGCAAATGCCACTCCACTCGATCATAGAAATATAATCAATTTTTTCTCTATTCTATCGATTATCTTTCTATCCCACTGACCCCCAAACCACTAGCAGTGGGTTAGTCTGTCATCTCAGTCTTTTTGATTATCTGATTAAAATGAATTCATCTTTCTACTCTTCTCCATCACTCTTCTTTCATTCCTCCATTACTCTCCTCCTTTCATTCACTCCCTCTCCCTTTCCTCCACATCCAATCACACCTCTATTACCACTACCTCTATCTCTCACAAATCGCATCTTATTCTACCCCTTACTCTCTCCATTCCTCTGTCTCCTTTTCTCCTCCAATCACTCGCTCTCCACTACAGCATCCCTTCATTTCCTGGCCACTAGTCTAGGTAGGGTGGAGAACGCAGGAGTGAAAGAAAGAGGAGAGAGAGATGGCGAGAGCGAAGGTGAGAGGAGAGAGAAAGAGAAGAGAAGAGGAGAGAAAGAGCGAGAAGAAAGGGAAGAGAGGAGAAGAAGAGGGAAGAGAGGAACCTCATTGCAGAACAGTAGTCTGCACTTTGGCGCATAACTCTCACATTCCTCTCCTTCCACATCCTTCTTTCTCTCGCGCTCTCTCATTCTCTAAATCTCTCCCTCTGTCTGGTATACAACTATGCATTGAATTCCTTCCTTTCCAACTTCTTTCCAGCCTTGTAAAGTGTGACAACGTAGCGATAATGACAAAATCCTATGTTAAACACGCCAATAAGTGGTCAGGCTATTTTCCTACCTTTGCCTTACATGGAATCAAATAAGAACTCGAAACCTCAATCAAAAACCATAGCAGCATTAGCTAGGGACTCTGTACCTTTCCGTTTTTCTAGGGGTCACACACACTGCAACACAGCATACTGTCACCACACAGTCTTTAACAGTGAGGTAACACTTATGGTGAGGTCATCATCTACAGCATGTCCTCTCTGAAACAAAATTAAATGGCCCAAGGAATCCCAGCGAAAAAACATTTATCAAGCGTGTTGTGGGCCACGGCGGTTGTTGGGTGAAATATTCTGAAATCCTGGGGCTGATCGAAGACAGATGTGCTGCTGATGGCAGGCCAGGCCTGGCTGCAGCACCGCTAGGCTAGGCTAGGCTAGCTAGCTAATATGTTTTCCAGCAGCTCAGAGCAGAGCTTTCTGGGATGGGCCAGTAGGGGTGTTACTGGAGCCAGGGGAGCCCTCAATGTTTGGAGGGGGTGACACACACACACACACACACGTAAACATGCATACACACACAATCATAAACTCACACATCATTGTGCAAACACACACACACACACTCAATTCTTAAAACAGGGTTCACACACACACTTTGTCCTCCCTCCCGGTCACAGATAACTCACTCTGCTCCCCAGACAATCTTCTATCAGCTGCATCATCTGGTCTCACTTGGTCTGTTTACTTGCCTGTTGTCAGTCAATAAGGACTGTTTATAGTTCCGGCTTAGAACCAGTCAACAATCAAACAAGATGTCCATGTTCTGCTAAATGCTTTTAATACCCAATAAAACACGATTGTGCGAGTGCCAACAAAGCAATAAAATATAGAAAATTGTGTCTTCATAGAAGGGTACTGACTGAGGGGGTGGAAGAAATGTTGCCGCATTGTAGCATTGCTTAAATGGAGTGTACACTAGTAGTCTGGGGGTTAAATTCCAGGGAGAGAGACGATTGGCTCCTGACTAACTGCCATCTGAGGAGAAAAGTAACACACACACACACACACACACACACACACATTAAAACACCTGTGCTCAGCACACACACACTAACACACATTAACATACACACACACACACACTAACACACCTGTGCTCAGCACACAGGTGCTTATCCCTACTTGTATCTACTTACACAGCTACACAGACAGCTCTCTAACAGTATTTGGTGTCTTTTAAAAATACTAAACAGCACTAAACACTAGAACACGATAGGGTAGTGACTAGTGATGTAACACACTTTGAGGTACAACAAAGGCCTAAACATAGCCAATTAAATAAGACACTATTGGAGCCGACTGCTGCCACCAAATGTATATTATGCAAGTCTACAATATGTGGTAGTTTATTACTTTGGTTTGTATTGCTTTACTTTTCCCTCATCTGTGAATAAAAACGACATTCCAAGTATCCAAAAGCAGCTTCTTTCAGAGTGGTGCAAATATTGCCCTCAAAAGGGAATAAGACAGCGTTGTGCATCACCGTAAACTCACTAAGCTAGCTCCCCTACCGGCGGCCATTTTGACACACATGGATACTATTTGTGCCGAACGACCAGATGTTGATTTCACAAACACGCATCTCGTGCCAGGCGCTGTTATTGCAAGGTTTCGACTGAAAAATCATATCAAGCTCTCTATATCATAGCTTAGATTTACCCCGTTCCAAACGGGGTTTAGATACTGCTAAACAAAACAGTCCCTTCACCTGCTCCCTCCGTGTGCAAAGCAGCGTGGGTAATAGCGTGATAACTGGACCGTTCCACTGGGGCGCACGGTACACGGCTGGTGTTTGAACAGCTACTCAGGGGGGAATACCAGCATGCACGCACGACACGTCACGTCACACACACACACACACACACACACCTACCTACCTGCTGGCTTACTGCAGAGAGCTCTAGCCTAGCAGCATCTGATCCACATTACAGTGAGTTTCCTCAGTAGTGGGATGGCTCCAGCCCAGAGGCCTTTAATGGCATGCCACTACCTGTGGTTCAGCTGAGGCAGCTCACTCACGACTGCTTGCGCACAAACAGACAGCCAGGAGTGTGTGTGTGTTTGGTGAACCTGAATGGCATACATGAAAATCAACAGTGGCGAAGCTACACACAGAGACGGCCCACTGGTAGGGTCACACGTGTCAGCGTTTTTTTCAGCCTGAACTTACACTGCTGTCGTGATGTGTGTGTGTCAGTGTGTGTGTGTGTGTGTGTGTGTGTGTGTGTGTATGGTGAAAGGTTGCAGAGTTTGCACACACGTGTGTCTGGTTGAGTGGTGTGTGTCAGTGTCGTTGTGTCACCCCCTGAAGTGTGTGTGTGTGTGTGTGTGTGTGTGTGTGTGTGCGTGTGTGTGTGGTGTGTGTGTGTGTGTGTGTAGGGTGGAGGGTTACCTGAGGTTAGTGTTCTGGCTCTGGCTCTCCATGGCCACGCGGGAACCGTTTGGACTAGGGCCGTTTGGACCAGGGCCGTTTGGACCGGGGCCGTTTGGACCGGGCGTTTGGACTAGGGAGAAAGAGGGAGAGAGAAAGAGAGAGCGAGAGAGAGCAACAAAACAACAGTGAGATAAAATAGTACAAAAAGACCTTGGGCTATCACACAGCAGACGGATTCACTAGCAGCAGGTAGAATTCTTCCTCAACATTTCTGCTACCATGACATTTTACTGTGATCTAGAAAATAAGCAACCCCAGTGTTTTCAGTTACAACAAAACCCCTGAGTAGACCACTAGATTAGAAGTAAAGACCCCTGCTCGAGTCAAAGGTCACAGCCTGAAACAGTGACAGTGTTTGCACTCACTTGAGGACCAGGTGGAGGTTGGCGGAGAGGCGTGGGTCGGTGAACTGCGTGGTTCGGTTGTTGTGGTCCACAAAGTAGACACGTCCCGTTGCCGTGTTGCGGATCTCCCAGCCCGGCGGCAGAGGACCCAGCTCCTCACAGTTGACGTTGCTCAGATCCCTGGGCAAGAAAATAGGACCACAGGAGACCATGAACACAACTAAACCATAACCACATAACTCCATTGCTCACTCAACCTAGGGTGCTAAAACAACAAGGGTATAACACAATGAGTATAATAATGCAGTATTTACAACTATTATTATCATTATACTTTATTAAGTATTAATCATCTAGGTTAATGAGAGTATATTATCTTTTATAGTGTAAGAACCAGGTTATTATAGTACAAATCGACTTGTAAACACAGTCCACTATTGCTATCCATATTTATTCTACCAGTTAGGTAGGATTATTGAGTGCTAATTCTCTTTTCCCAGTATACAACAATCTTTTCTTCTAAGTATAAAAAGGACATCCCAGAGGCGTGCCTAAATTCAACTCAACAGAGTTGGATCGATCGCAAAACATCTGAGAAAACACTTGAATAAATTCCAATAATTCCCTATCTCCCCCATAGACCTACATTATTTTCTGTTGAAACCTAAACCCTGAAGTGGGATGTTTTAACTGTCCACTAAGGACTCATCACTAAAACAGTCTGCACATGCCTGGCTAAACTGTTTCATGACATAATGGGTGTTTGTAAAGCATTCTGGGCCAAATGACCATGATTCAAGGTTGAATCTTAAGGACATAGAATCTCTGAAGATCAAGACTTCAATATGGTAATTATTTGGGATAAATCGCTGTGCTTGTGTATTAGCTCATCAATAAACAAGAAATACTCAGTGGAGTGTTCAATTGAACCTTTGTGCAAAACAGTTAAGGAAGGTGAGGAAAGGTCAGGGTACACAAGCAGGGTTGTGTTCATTAGGCACCAAACAGAAGAAAACGGACTGAAACAAGGAAGTCTGCCTGGAGAGGAGAGAGGGAGTGACAGAGAGAGCGCGACAGAGAGAGCGCGACAGTGAAAGAGAAAGAGAGAGAGATTGTTATATGTATGGTTATTTTGAAACTTGATTATTGTTGTTACTGTTGTCCCATTGACAATATTGATTATTATTATTTTAATTATGTTAATATTGTAAATCTCCAAAGTAAGCTTTGGCAATTTGTACATTGTTACGTCATGCCAATAAAGCTAATTGAGAGAGACAGAGAGAGACAGAGAGAGACAGAGAGAGAGAGACAGAGAGAGAGAGAGAGAGAGAGAGACAGAGAGAGAGACAGAGAGAGAGACAGAGAGCGAGAGAAAGACATGGAGGTGAGTGTGTGTGTTCATAGCAGACTGTACCTGGGCACTCGGGGGTCATGCCATGTGCTGACGCCTGTCTGGGTGTGGAGGAAGTACACCTGGCCCTGCTGGGTGGTTCTCTGCTCTGTGAGCGGGGACACAGAAAGACAACACCGTGAGAAAAGCAGAGGGAATCTTAAATGGAACACTCTTTTTTTCTTCATTTCTTTCAACTTAAATGGCACACAAATGAGTATTTATGTTCTAAAAATATGGACAGGACACCAAGTGTATGTGTACCACCCGGTATGTGTGCACCGACGGCGACAAGGCACCGGTGTGTATGTGTGCCTCTTGCCTGCACATGTAGTCCCTCATTCATCCCCATTAACCCTCCATTTCCTTCTGACACCACAACACATATCCTACCCAGCTCTCTCACCTCTCACTCCCTCAGTTTTTGGAAGCCACACCCAACTGGTCAGAGTCAGAGACTGAGTCTAATGAGAAAAATGCCCTCTGGCCTTAAGTGAGTCACCTCTGCCAAGCACACTGGGCATTTTCAGAGGCATGGATCACCGCCATTCTAACTGAATGGCATTCATCACCACCCTTATAATTTCCTTCACAGACTCTCTGGTTCAGTTCTTCTACAGAGCTCAGTGTTGAGCCTTGAGTTTATCCAGTTCAGCACTGAGAGGCCCAAGAGCTCTGCAGGAGATATACACTGAGTGTACAAACCATTAAGAACACCTGCTCTTTCCATGACATAGACTGACCAGGTGGATCCAGGTGAAAGCTATGATCCCTTATTGATGTCACTTGTTAAATCCACTTCAATCAGTGTAGATGAAGGGGAGGAGACAGGTTAAAGAACAATTATTTAAGCCTTGAGACATGGATTGTGTATGTGTGCCATTCAGAGGGTGAATGGGCAAGACAAAAGATTGAAGTGCCTTTGAACGGGGTATGGTAGGAGGTGCCGGGTGCATCGGTTTGTGTCAAGAACTGTAACACTGCTGGGTTTTTCACGCTCAACCGTTTCCTGTGTGTATCAAGAATGGTCCACCACCCAAAGGACATCCAGCCAACGTGACAACTGTGTGAAGCATTGGAGTCAACATGGGCCAGCATCCCTGTGGAACGCTTTCGACATCTCCATGCCCCGACAAATGTTTGGTATAATCAGTGTATACTCATAATTAATACATTTGCTAAGTTGTGTTGTATATAAGAATAGAGGTAGAAATAGAGGATGGGGAACTTCCACAGAACAGGGAGATTATGGTGACTGGTGGGCTGGTATTGTAAATTAGTGCATTGCTACAGCATATTAATAATGGTGCAATATACTTGACTGTTGACATCCAATGTGTCAATGTTTTTAATTGTATCTGTCCCTATCAAATTAATATCGTCCTCAGGCTAACCGCTACCACATATACAGAGAGAGAGAATCGGCTGGCGGACGAGACTACTAGCAAATAAGCTATTAATACGTAAAAAACTGTGTGTTGGTCTCTGGCTGTGAAAGTCAAACTGGTCAAAAACTGTGTAAATGGGGTGCTCGAAATAGCAGCAATCCATAGCAACAGCCTAGCAACCACCAGCCTGTAGTACTTAAATAATATTGCATAATGTATGTAATCCTTTCCATCTGCATGCATAACGTATACAAGACTGAGCCTGTACAGTGGGAACAATAATAATATCTGACACTTTGACAAGGGCAGACTTGGGGTTGACCAAAAACACACAAACACCCATCTTCCCCCGCTTCCCCCCCATCTTTCCCCCGCTCCCCCTCTCTTGCCATCTATCTTTCTCTACCTTCCTCTCTCCGTCCCTCCCCTGTGGGAATATCACTCGGCACTGCGAGAACACTTCGGAGCGCTGGGAAGTGTTCGCAAACATGGGGAAGAGAGGAAAGAAGAGGAGGAGAGGAGAGGGGAGGGGTGAGGCGAGAAGAGGGGCCTGCGCTGATTGCAGCTGTCATGATGTGGTGCTGTGGGAAGAGGGGAGCTGAGAGAGGAAGGAAGGAGAGAGAGGGAGGGAGCTGAGAAAAGCAGGGAGGGACAGAGGGATCTAGAGAGACAGGGAGGGAGGGGGGAAGGCTGTGGTTGTAGCAGCAGGGAGATTGTTGTACTACACTCTCAAAGGCTGATAACAAAGCCATCTTTGACCTGGTATTACCCCTGCTACATGGATACTGCAAGGTCCACTAATTCCTTTCACTGAGAATTACGGTGTGTGTGCGTGTTCATGTGTGCGTACATGTGTGTGTGACCTGCTCACTGTAACTCTGAGTCAGGTCAGTTGAGGTGTGTGTATGGGTGTTTATGTAAGCATGTGACTGTGCTTACAGAAGCCTTTGGCACATCATGCTGGCTGAGTGAGCGACCATGTGTCTCTCTCTCCCCGATAATGAGTAACTGTACACATATCCCTTAGGTAGGTTAGGCAGAGGGTGTTGTGTGTGTCTGAGTGCACCCCTGTCCTCTGCCCTCTCCATATCCCTTGGGTAGGTTTATGCGGGTTTGTAGGCTAGTGTGTGTGTGTGTGTGTGTGTGTGTGTGTGTGTGTGTGTGTGTGTGTGTGTGTGTGTGTGCACGCACGTGTGTGTTTCTGTAACCACATCACTTGACCACCATATCCCCCAGGCAGGTCAGGCTGTGTGAAAATTAATGTTTATACATTAGTTATGTGAATGTGTGTGTTAGTGTATATGTTTGTATGCAGGTCTTTGTATGCAAGTATGTTCATTTTTTTTGTGTGTCTCACCGTATCCCTCTGGCAGGTCCGGCGGGGTGTGGAGGTGGGTCCTGCTCATGTAGTTCCTGTGTCTCTGGGAGCGGACGCGTCTCTCCTGGACCCGCGGGTCACTGCCACTGCTGGGCAGCACACCGATGGCCGCCCCGTTGGGGGTCATGACCGGCGTGTTCTCATCCACCACGCAGCTGAGGGGCCGCCCGGAGGGGCTGGAGTACTCAGACGCCGGCCTGGAAAGGAGGGGGGACACAGAGGTTGAGATAATATCTAAGTAAGTGTGCACATTTGATGGGGTATTGTTTGTGTGTGTGTGTGTGTGTGACGTGTAACGGCGTCGGACTGTGTTCGTCCCCCTGCCTGTGTGTGTGTCTCAGTGGCAGTCTAGTCTATGAGTGGCAGGAAAACAACTGATAAGACGACTGGTCAAAGGGGAGGGAGTAAAGGAGAGGAGACGAGAGAGAGAGAGCCCCCCTCCACTCCCCCAGACCACTTTGTCTGGCCATCCAGGGCCACTGACGCCTTGGTTATCTCCTTCGACAAACCCCCCCCCAACCCCACCTTAACCCCTGCCTCACCCACCTCCTCTCCCCTAACCCAATCCCACCATCCAACAGCACACCCCTCCCCCCTCCCCAGCCCGCTTAAAGCAAAATAGGAAGGCCAGCTCCAGAGCGGTTATTTATTTGTCTGCTTACTTCCCTATCGGCTCCACTGATACGGGTGCCCTGTAAGGAAGGCGACAGTTGTTCCAGGAGAAAGGTGGGCCAAGCCAAACCTGGCTGGCCCTATTTAGGGGGCTGAGCCTTTCAGGAAATTGATAGGAACTCCCTCATTAGGCTACCCAGTGACTGTTTTGTTTTCCTTTTACAATAGTGCATGGATGGCCTATTTTCTGGGGCAGTGAGGCACAATATACTACTAGACAAGCTTGTTGATGTTGTGTTGTGGCATATAACCAACTGTTTCCCTTAGGACTTAGTTGGAGAGGATGTGTGCCCTTTTTTAGGGCAACGTAAGGAAAATATTCTAATAAACAGGCTAGAGGTGAAGAGGGAGGTTGATGTTGTATTATAAAGAGTGTCTGGACTATTTATGGAAATTACAGATGATGGATTTGACCTTTGGTACTCAGTGTGTGAACAAACGGTCTGCTGGATGTTGGCAGCACTCCAGGGTCAGTAGCTGCCGAGGGGGATTCTATCTGGTGCAAAGGTAGGTGTGTGTGTGTGTATGTGTGTTGACGTACCTGGTGGGCCTCTCCCATTGTGTGGTGCGTGTGATGTGGTTTAGGTACTGGATCCGACCAGAGGCTGTCCTCCGCTCCTCCCAGCTGATACAGACAGACACACAGCAAGACCGACACAGTGAGCAACAGACCAAGGAACAAGTATTCCCATTTGCATTTTGCAACCAGATTCAATATACCCCTATTCCAACCAGATTCAGATCTACTTTCAAGCTAAACCTTATACAATAACAAATAACTATCTCTACGTAAGAAAACGATGTAAATCTAATAGCGGATTTATGCTTGATCTGGCAATGCGGTCCGGAGGCTCCGTACGGAGGGTGTGACGCAATTGCGGAGCCTCCGGAGGCTTGCAGAGGCCAAATCGAGCTCCTCATAAATGTTGTAACAATGCAGAGGGCTCCGTATAGTGCCGCATTGACATGACTGGTTGATGGTAGGTGGGGGCAGGAGGTCCTGTATAAACACAAACTCACTTCCTTGACAACAGTTATGCTCAACAGCTCTGCTACACAAAGTGCAAGAAGTATGAAAGCCCTGACTTCTGCAGAGGCAGTATCGCCGTAAATGCTGTACGGCCAATGCAGACGCCTGATTGACCACGCAGAGCCTTTAAGCTCATTGGATACACGCAAACGGGTACATAATGTAGCTTTAGTCATAAGATACATCAGGAGCCCTTACCCATCAGGTAAATCATTATCAAACAGACGGCTGCAGTCCACCACGGGGCCTCCTGTGCCGATACGGTCTCTGGACTGTAGACTCACTGGAGACAGGAGACAACAGCAGCAGTTAGACCAATATCATGTAATGCTGTATAACTAAGGCCATGAGAATGAGATTATCCTAACCGTAACCTGACCGAGGGAAACTCTCGACCCTAGTTGAACCAGGGCTCAGAGTTCTTCCTGGTCAGGTCACATCGTCTGGAAAACACTAAAAGCAGTGTGTGGTGAGGTCAACCCAGAGTATCGAGACACCGGATCCTGTCTGTGTTGAGCAAACAGACTCTGTGGAAACCTAAGAGGTCAAAGGTGGTTTTACTGAGAAACGAGCTCCTCAGACAGACATGGCTTTCCTTTCAGATAGACTGATGATAGTGGCGAAACATCCAGCAGACCTGTGGTTGTGTCAGACAGAACCACACGTCTGCTCCTCGGACCAAAGTCTGCTTTTGTGTGTGTGCGTGCTTCTGTGTGTGCGTGCTTGTGTGTGCGCGTGCTTGTGTGCGGTTCAGAACACTATACACAGATCTACTCACCAACTATCTGGCCTCTCACTGTGTCGTTGTCATTGGGGCCCAGCTTATTCAGGTCCAGTCTCTGATCTGTGGGGTTAGAAGAGAACAATTTAATGAGCAAAGAATAACTTATCAAAGCTCTATTTTTCCCCAAGGGAATTTCAAAAGTGACATCGACAAGCTTTCTATCCGTCTGCCCTTAGTATTGAGTAAGGACAAGACAAACACTGCTATTACCACACCGTTATGTCATCACCACAAGAACAACACCATCCCATGCAACACCACACCATCCCATGCAACACCATACCAGCCAGCAGCATACCAATCTGCATCACACTGCTGGTTTGCTTCTGAAGCTAAGCAGGGTTGGTCCTGGTCGGTCCCTGGATGGGAGATCAGATGCTGCTGGAAGTGGTGTTGGAGGGACAGTAGGATGCATTCTTTCCTCTGGTCCAAAAAAAGATCCCAATGCCCCAGGGCAGTAATTGGGGACATTGCCCTGTGTAGGGTGCCGTCTTTCGGAGGGACAGTAAACTGGAGTCCTGACTCTCTGTGGTCACTAAAGATCCCATGGCACTTACAGTAGGGGTGTTAACCCTGGTGTCCTGGCTAAATTCCCAATCTGGCCCTCATACCATCATGGCCACCTAATCATCCCCAGCTTCCAATTGGCTCATTCATCTCCCCTGTAACTATTCCCCTGGTCATTGCTGTAAATCAGAATTTGTTCTTAATCAACTTACCTGGTAAAATAAGGGTTAAAAATAATAATAAATCCTCATACAACATACCACTCTCCCTTCAAAACAAGAGGGGAAGAAAACGTTCATACCGTGGACAACAAGAGAAATATGAAAAGATGAAGACTAAGATAGTCAGAAAACTACATCAAATCTGCCTATGAACAAGACTGTCAGCCAATGGAAGGAGGCCTACAGTAGTAGAGGGGTCTCCATTTCACAGTGCGGGTTAAAACCTGATCCCAAATCAGCCGTAGCTGCTCTCCCTCTACTCATCCTAAGACATTCTAGATGTAAATGTCAGCTCCTATTAGCTAACTCTTTGGTCTGGGTCAGGGGGAGTACACCCTAGGTTGTATCCAGACTATGGGAGACGGGGTAGTGAGACCATCCGCTCACCAGTGTCTTCCTGACAGACAGCACTGTACTGTGGATCAGGGATCTGTTCCGGATACGCGTCTAGACTAAACAGGGGCGGTCTAAAGGGTTACAAGGCTGGAATAGTAAGCAGCTTTCAGAAGAGGAAAAAAGACACTAAGTGGAACTGTATCCTGGCCTGCAAACATCTAAGGTGCATTTAAAAAAACTAAAGGAAAAGGGGGGAGGGGGGACAGGCTCAGACGAAAGGAAAGAGCAGGGGAATAAAAAGGGTACATGAACCAAAACTACCACAACAAATACACTATCTATACAACATATGTAGGCTTAATTACCAGTGTATCAACAGTATATGTCTCTCTGTATACAAGTCTTGCCACCCAGACCGTGCATAGCCGATATAATACAAATATTACTGATCCATGTATACATTCTATACATACTGTCCTCCATCACAGACGCACCAAAACCAGTTTAAATAAACAATGGTAAAATAAGACAAAAACAAAAGGATAGAATCCCGAGGCCTGCAATTTGTAACTAGGACAAAGGGCTCTGAGGTTTGTGTCAGTGCGTGTGTGTGTTTGTATGATGCTACAATAAGTTATAGTACAGGAAGTGGTAGAGCTGTAGCGGGCCAGACTGTTAGCAGAAGAAGAAGAGGCCCCTAGAGACTGTGGTGGCTGGACCACAGACAGACAGACAGGCGGGCGGGGGGAGGGTTATGTGAGGACTGGTGCCCTGCGACAGCCTGTCTCCCTTGTTGTCCACTTCTTGTCTACATCAGCAGCATCGACCCATACTGACTGGCTTTAGTGCCACACTGTCTGACTGACATTTTCTAGAGGACTCTCATTGTCACAGCCAGTTATGGCCTCTATTCTAAACCACTTAGGGAGAAAACCACTGAGTGGTCTAGATAGATATACAGATATACTATAGATGGAGGGTGAGGAAGGTATGGCAGTTTGATAGGCAATATACTGTAAGTGGAGACAGCTAGTTTAACAGCCTAGCTAGCATCTTTAACTGTTGACTGTTATAGCTTGCTGAAAAAGGCAATGCTTTATACCTATGGTTGCTCACTGCTAATGATAGCAGTCGGGATGGGACCCAGTCTGAATGCAGCAGCTAACTGCTAACAAGCCAGGTAAAACAAAGGAAATACACTTTCCAGTAAGTACTCATAAAGAAGCTGTCACTGCAAGCGTAGAAAAGGGAGACAGTACGTCTACTTCACATACAGTTAGTCTGTGTCTGAAGAGACAGCAGGACGAGTGTGTGTGTGTGTGTGTGTGTGTGTTTCCCTTCACGCTACAGAGGTGGAAACCCCGGGGAGTGTGTTTGAGCTGGCAGCGCCAGGCATGGGCGAGACACCCAAATCCCAGGAGCCCCCTATCCCGCTCTCGATGGCGTCCGTCTCACCAGGCCAGGCAGCGGCAACAAGCTCTGTGCCCTAGCCAGCCAGACTGGCACCTGATACCCAGGGAGGGAGTGGGCAGAGCGGGACAGCGACAGTGCCAGACTCCCATATGGCCGTCAATCAATAGGGTTTAATGGCAGGTGTGTGTGTGTGTGTGTGTGTGTGTGTGTGTGTGTGTGTGTGTAATAGGGCCTTCTAGGCAGTGGGGCAGGATAGAAGCCTGTCTTGTCTTTGATGTGGTCTATAAATCAGACCATGCGCTGCGTAATAGGAGTGAAATAGTGATGACTAGAGGGGGGAATGTGTGTCTGTGTTTGAGTAATCGTTGGGAGGTTTTCTGCTGTCTCACACTAGACTGAGACCACCTCCAGACAGACACGCACTGTGTAAAGCACACTCACACGTTCACATACATTTTTGCTAAAACGTGCAAACATACATTCTTGCTCTAATACATGCTCGAACGCACACACACACAGTACACTTACAGCCGGTGTCTTTGAGGCGGTTGATGGCGTTGGAGAGCAGGCGGACACAGCCCAGGAAGCCGGCCCCCTGCTTCTTGTGAATCTTCTTGTGGTTCCACACACTGATGGTGATGGAGTCAGACTTCCCAATGTACCTGTGGATGACAGGAGAGAGAAAGACAGGAGAGAGAGAGAGACAGGAGAGAGAGAGAGAGAGAGAGAGAGAGAGAGAGAGAGAGAGAGAGACTCTTTAATGTGCATCATTTAAGATCTTTAAATACATTGCTTATAACACTGAGTGGGCCTGTCCGTCTCATCACTGTGCTTTTGGAGCGCTGAGTCATTATCCCAGGGAAACAGCGAAGCTATTAGGGAGAGACGGACATCTCATACACACACCTGCACTTACATACATTCCACTGAAGAGGAGGACCTACTAAAGAAAGTGTGTACACGCAGTCACATCACAGAGAACGTATGGAGGGGTCATGAGGTCTAAATGACTCTTCTATAACTACAGTGTGCCAACTGTCCATGATGACGATGATGAAGCTGCTTGTCTGGCTATAAGGTCAGCCTAGTCATCATGAATCAGAGAAGAGAACCCCTAGTCTCCTCTCTCTCTCCTGCACCACAGTCTCCCACCACTTACAGTAAACACACACACCGACTGGTCTAATTACAGCTTTCCCAACACTGCTGCCTACTCAGCCCTCTTCCATGGGTACGTATATATCATGAAGAGAAGGGTTTCCAGGAGAGGGGTTTCCCAGAACGCACCTAGAAAATGCACATAGCCCATACTGTAATAGGGAGTGGGGAGAGGATGTCTAGTCAGTTTTAAAATTTGCTCACTCAGTGTCTCCTTTTGTCAATAGACAAGTCTGCTCAAATATCTGATACTAATATCACTGGAAACTGATGACTGGAGAACAAATTAAATGTTTCCAAAGAGGCATATGTCTTTTTGCATTGTTCTGTCTTTAAAGGAGTGATGGACAGAAATGAAATAAAACTTTAATCTAAGCACATTAAATCTAATCTGTTTTTTTATATTAAAAGCCTTGCTTGCATTGTGGGTTGAAATTTCCGCCTGGTGTCTTATCTAGATTCGGATAAAGGCTTCAAACTAAGCCAAGTTATTCCACCTCTATGCTGTGGTCATAATGCATGGGCCAACAACATGATTTGGTGTGTGTGTTCAAACCCAGGCTGCGTTTAAGGGGAAATGAGAGAGCATAACAGACAGTGACCTAGCGTCTGGGGCTTTGAAAATGAGGACAGGTAAACACAATTTCCTCACTCAAAATGACTTGAGCAAGACACACGTGTACACACACACACACACACAGTCACAAACACACAAGCACGCGCACACACATTTGTGAAACCATGTACCGTCTGGCTTTGCAGGTAGAGCTGGTGATTAGAACAGTGCTTACCGCAGTAAATGAAGGAGGAGAAAAAAAACCACAGAGAGAGAGAAGGAAAACCACTTGTCCGTGCATACGGCTAATTATAGCTATATGATAACACCACAGTATATGAGGTAAGTATTACTTATAGAGCCTCAGTCTAGCTAGTCTGAAGAGCTCTTCATTTCCAGTGGGTGTAAGTATGCCATAGTCACAGATCTCGGATCAGTTTACTCTCCCAAATCCCTTACCTCAACCATTAAGGTGGAACACTCAAAACTGGCCTTAGATCAGTTTCTAGGCTGATGATGCATCAAGTTTGGCCAATTCACTGGTTTGTGACTAATGGTGACTGGTGAGCTGGGGTGCCACAATGGGAGACATCTTAGTCATGCCAGTAGGTGCCCAGTCACGCCAGTCTGCCAGCCCCGACTGGTTTAAATTTAATGAGGCTAGATATAGACATCTAGACTAATCAACGGCCCAGACAGACTGGCAGACGACACTGTCACACTTCCTCCCCTGACGGCTGGCGAGACCAGCTCTGCCTTCTGGGATATGACAGCACGGCGGCCACCTGCTCTGGGTTTCCTGGGCCGAGAGGGACGGGCGATTAGGGAACCAGGGAGGGAGAGAGGGGAGGAGGCTGGTGAGGAGAATAGCGTGGTTGGTGCAGTGAGAGAAGGAGCGTGAATGGGTTTTTACCAATCAAGGCCTCTGAAAAATACAACCGTCAATCGTATCAATTAACTTCTCTATAGAAATATGAAATACCACCTTCTACTATATACATTGATCAAGGGCTCGAACATACAGTATGAAGCTAAAATGGGTCACATCTACACCCAGATTGGTTCCTACAGAGGGCAGCGAGAGCGCTTACGGGCCTTGTGCTCTAAAACAACCCCTTTACTATTCATGACGTCTCTAGCTTGCCTAAGGGATATACAGTGCATTAGCATTCCCATTAGCATCACATTGGGAGCTACATGACCTGGTACTCTAATGCCGCCTGTCTTGCTGCAGGCGTTGATGCAGTGAATATGAAAACAGAGCGAGGCAGACTGTATGCTCCTCAAGCTCCAAACACTGTCTGTAACTAATACATATTTTGACTTCTCTCTCTTTTCTGGTTTAATGGCCTCTGTCTGCAAACATATAGCTACATAAGTTACGCTATAATTGCAAAATCACTGACTGTATTAGTGAAAACTGCAACAACAAAACTCAGCCTGAGTTTTGCAGTACACAAGCACTAGTCAATTTGTGGGTGTCACACACTCCCTGACTGTGCCCTATTTCTTTAAAGTGTACACTCATACACTCAACCCCATGCACTTAAAAATAAAAGCATTGGATTGGTGTATTTCTTACACCAGTACAGTCCCTTCCATAAAGGGAAGTGAACGTGCACATGTAGGGTGGATGAAGAATGTGTTCTGCAGTAACTGTAATGGTCTGTAGTCCAGAGGGGGTTACACTACACTACAGTAGCAGACCCACAGAGAGTGGGCTGCTGGGTTGGCTGTGTGCTGAGCACTTAGCTTGGCCTGGTGTGGAGGAGGGAGGTGTGGAGAGCAGTGGTAACCTGCCAGCCAACAGGCTGGGGCTGGGGCTGAAGGCTCAATCTGTGGCTTGTGCTCCTTGGCATGTCAGCCATTTCCTGTGACAGAGCCCTGGGGTCAGGGGTCACTGGCAGGGGAGACTCCCTCAGGACCAGTGGAGAGGAGAGTGTTTGAAGAAGACAAGCATTGGGGGGGGGGCAGGTGTGTAAGCACACACACAAGCATGCAAAACACACACACAGACAAACATGCACACACACAGCGAGAGACGGACAAATATGTCTTCCCTCCGCAGTGTCAAACGTAATGTTTTTTTTCCTTCTTTTTTGGGGAACTAATTAATGATGTAACCCACATTCCCTGTATTATTCAATCTGTGCATAGTGGTTTGGTGACAAGACACCCACATCCCAATATCTCTGCATAGTTTCCCTATGCTTTGTAACACACACACACACACACCTCTCTCCTCATGTCTAGCTTTCTCTCCTCTCCTCTTCTCCCTCTACATCCCTCTTTTCCCTCTCTCACCCCTCCTGTAACTCATTGCCAGTAGGTCCTTTGGGTCCTGTGGTGATTACTCCCAAGAACAGCATGTTACGCTTGCAGCTCAACATTCACAACACATGGCTCATTTCAGTCGGACAGTCCCAATGGTTAGACTAGGGTTTCGTCTGAAATGGCACCCTAGTCACTATATAGTGCACTACTTTTGACCAGGCCTTTAGTGAAAAGTTGTGCACTACATAGGGAATAGGGTGCCATTTCGGACAGTCAAAAGGCCTCAAATGGTTTATGGTGGGTGTTCCTGCACATTAGCACGGGAAGGGAGGGTAACCTGCTGCATTCCTTGCACGCTTATCATAGCAGCGCATGGAGATTGGAGACGCCACAGCTTAGGCAATAAAACCAGACCAGTGATAATGTTGAAAACCATAGTCAACATGGAGGTTGTGTTCGCAGTTGTCTGTGGTTCTTTGGCATCCATTATAGGAAGTGGTTTAATCCAGACCCTAGTCCCTACTTTCTTAGTCTCACACACCAGCCGTTCTCCCTGGGGACGAGGTTATGCTACTACTTCCTACTAGGCACTTTTGTAGATCTGAAAGGATAAATTGCTGAGACAAGCTGGAACAAGGAATACATGGTGAAACAAGGGTTTATTGGTCTCAGGCGGTCCCCCAGTATAGAGTCTTCCCTGGTAACTTACAGGTCGTAATGTTGGTTCCACTTGGGGTCCAGCGTGTTCCTCACGGTGTCCGTGGAGTGGCATTGCCCCGAGCCATCCACCACCACTTTGGCAAAGGGGTCAGGCAGCCCTGTGGAGGAGGAGCCAAAATGGAGGATTGTATTCACAACTGTGGATGGCATAGAAACAATGGAGTCAATGGAACTATATTTACAGTATGGTTAATTTATCTAGCATGGAAATGAAATGGTTTATATGAAATGGAGATTATATGTTGCAATTGGAGCCAAAATGGAGGATGTATGCCTGAATGAGTTTCTAGGTAACTGTAATCACAAGCGGATGGGCATAAAAACATTGACTAACAACAAACCTATATTCACATAATAATGTTCATTATCTAACGTTAAGATATGTTATAGGTGAAATTGGAGCCAAAATGCAGGATAGGTATGTGCACGTCAACATGATAGAGTTTCTATGGAACTGTATTCAAATACAACAGCTGAGTCATAAGGTGGCATACAAAACATTCATTGTCAATGGACCTGTATTTACACTGGCTCTTTTAAAGATCATAGAAATAGGAAAATATGTGTGTTGCAGTTGAGACAAGCAGGTCAGAGGCATGTCTTTCTTTCCACCCCTGTCTATTATACTCTTTGGAAATCTGATAATGGACGGTACACACACACTGCTACCAACCTAGGCAAGATCAACATATGCCGCCCTTGTCGTGTATAGTATAAAGATTTGGAATGGATTGATAGACTAGAGTAGAATAATGATGTGTATCATGAGCAATTAGTACATTTCAGTTTATTCCGTAGCACTTGGAAACAAAACATTGTTGCCAACTATTCACATCGGAGAGTTATAATGTTGCAATCACTAGGCAGCCAACTGCCTATAGCAGGAAACAGAGTTATGACACGAGTCACGACCCCGCGATAGTTCAAATTACAATAAACATAACATTTGTTAACATCATCCAGTAGAACTGTAAAAAGAGTGAGATTTAATTTGAGCTTTGGAAACATGTGCTTTCATAAATGCACGGCGCGGGCCTTGTTTCACAGGAGCCTTGTAAAATAAGCTTTCTCGCAATGAACCAGCCTTAACGAATTTCGTTTCTTTTCATATCGAATTTGATTGTCCAACATCAGGTTTACAATTTCTCAATTTTGTGGCCGCCTAGTGTGTCCTCTTTTTACTGCTGTGGTGTTGAATCACAGCGGGAATGGGGAGTGGTGCGGGCCGGCCCAGCCATGACTAGAAGGGATCCAGCTTTAGTCAAATTAATGTCAAAAGTTGAATTGTTTTGCATTTTAGCTAACCCTAACTCTTTTCCTAACCTTAACCTAATTCTCCTAACCTGCTCCATAAGTTCTCCTAACCTGCTACGAAGTCAAATCGGACGTTAATTTGACAAAAGCTGGATCGTTCTAGCCATTATTTATTAGGCTTACTTAAAATGTTCATGCCTAGGCTAAATTAAATTAGAAAGGCTAGATTGCTGTGTTTTGCTATTTATTAAAGTGTTCATACAAATAGCCTATAGGTCAGGTCGTTCGCAAATTATATTATACAAATATGATATTTTGAAGTTGTGTTTTACTGTGTAGGCGACTTGTTCTTATACGCTAAATGTTTTAATCTTAAAAAAAAGAAAAAGATATTCATTTATGATTTATAGCAGGGATGAAGACGCAAAGGTCATATTTTGCTTTTCAATAAAACCTGTCATGTTGGTATATGAACACCATTCTACCTTATTTTATTACAACTTTACAGGCTCTTTTCTATTCTGTTAAGATGAATTACAATAATCTAAATGTGATGTTGAGCACCGTGGGTGGACGCCCTAATGCGTTACGCACCCAACACGTAAAAATCTTGCCGGTCACGTTGTTCGGAGCCAAATTTTCCTAACGGAAACCCTGGTACACACACACACACTGACTGTGCTCCATAGCAATGACATACTGTGTGTGACTACTATAGTTAGGAGTGTGTGCCTCCAGGCACTGATACCTCCCACAGGTCAAACTTGTTGAGTCACATTCACCCCTTTGCCATACTGGCAGAGGAAGCAGGGACTTCCCTCTGCAGGCAGGTGTGTGTGTGTGTGTGTGTGTGTGTGTGTGTGTGTGTGTGTGTGTGTGTGTGTGTGTGTGCGCGTCATTTTCAGGAAACGGTGCCTTAAAGCCCACAGTATTCCAATACATGGCTTCAAGGGAGATGTGCAACTGCATAGCCTAAAGAATGTTCCAATTCACTATTTTTATTTTATCAAAATCATACACTATGATAATTAGCCTACAAAGGGGACGTGCCTGTGCTTTGTGTTCAATCAGAGGTATTTATCTGTGATGAGTATCTCCGTCTCGCCATGATATGAAACTTCATCAGATCCTCTGGCATAAAGCCAATGTGAAGATCGTAAGATACAGGAACTTCACATTTACGACCTGTAGCCTTTCACAGTCAGCCTAATGACTGAGAACCATTAAAATACCATTAAAACTACATTAATGGTTGCTCATCTGTGCCAGTCATAACAGCACACGACAGGCATTACCAGCTCATCACCGACGCTCTTCTACCTCATTGGATATCATTGGGGACTAGCGTCAATGTGCATTAGGTGTTCTATCTGTAATCTGTATTCGTCAGCCAATACTGCAGGACAGACTGAGCTCCTATGGGACTCCATCTACTGAAGGCTTCAAAGCCAGCCAGCTAGCTGACAATCCCATCCCAACACACAGGGGGGTGGGCAGAACAGAAATAGCACTGGAAAAAAATTGGTTACTACTCACGGAAGAAATCTTTCTTTGACAGGTTCTTCGCACACAGCACTGGAAGAGAAGAGAAGAAGAAAAGTTAGATGAGTTAAATGATGGATGTGCTACAATGGAAGAGCATTAATAGTGATTTCTCAATACAAAGCAAAGCAGATGGGGAGAAAAAAAACCTATGAGCTTACATATTAAATAAAACAACCAAATGCACAAAAGACAGCTTGTGGGTCAAACACTGTTAGACCTACACTACCAGTCAAAAGTTTGGACACACCTACTCATTCAAGGTTTTTTTTTTTTTTTTTTACTATTTTCTACATTGTAGAATAATAGTGAAGACATCAAAACTATGAAATAACACATATGGAATCATGTAGTAACCAAAAAAGTGTTAAACAAATCAAAATATATCTTATATTTGAGATTATTCAAATAGCCACCCTTTGCCTTGATGGCAGCTTTGAACACTCTTGGCATTCTCTCAACCAGCTTAATGAGGTAGTCACCTGGAATGCATTTCAATTAACAGGTGTGCCTTGTTAAAAGTTAATTTGTGGAATTTCTTTCCTTCTTAATGCGTTTGAGCCAATCAGTTGTGTTGTGACAAGGTAGGGGGGGTATACAGAAGATAGCCCTATTTGGTAAAAGACCAAGTCCATATTATGGCAAGAACAGCTCAAATAAGCAAAGAGAAACGACAGTCCATCATTCCTTTAAGCCATGAAGGTCAGTCAAATAGGAACATTTCAAGAACGTTGAAAGTTTCTTCAAGTGCAGTCGCAAAAACCATCAAGCGCTATGATGAAACTGGCTCTCATGAGGACCGCCACAGGAATGGAAGACCCAGAGTTACCTCTGCTGCAGAGGATAAGTTCATTAGAGTTACTGGCCTCAGAAATTGCAGCCCAAATAAATGCTTCAGAGTTCAAGTCACGGACACATCTCAGCATCAACTGTTGAGATGGGACAGTGTGAATCAGGCCTTCATGGTCGAATTGCTGCAAAGAAACCACTACTAAACGACACCAATAAGAAGAAGAGACCTGGTTTGGGCTTAGTGGGACTATCATTTGTTTTTCAACAAGAAATGACCCAACACACCTCCAGGCTGTGTAAGGGCTATTTTACCAAGAAGGAGAGTGATGGAGTGCTGCAACAGATGACCTGGCCTCCGCAATCCCCCGACCTCAACCCAATTGAGATGGTTTGGGATGAATCGGACGGCAGAGTGAAGGAAAAGCAGCCAAAAGTGCTCAGCATATGTGGGAACTCCTTCAAGACTGTTGGAAAAGCATTCCAGGTGTAGCTGGTTGAGAGAATGCCAAGAGTGTGCAAAGCTGTCATCAAGGCAAAGGGTGGCTATTTGAAGAATCGCAAATTTAAAATACATTTTGATTTGTTTAACACTTTTTTGGTTACTACATGATTCCATACGTGTTATTTAATAGTTTTGATGTCTTCACTATTATTCTACAATGTAGAAAATAGTAAAAATTAAGAAAAACCCTTGAATGAGTCGGTGTGTCCAAACTTTTGACTGGTACTGTATATGACAAGGCAAAGTCCAGTTTAGGCCTACACAAATAGCCTAAGCTACACTCCATTTCAATCCTTCACCCCAGGTATTCGGAGTCCGACAGATATCATGAAATGAGAACCAACCTTAGCTTGGAATCTAATCCCTGCCAGTGCCTTGGATTCCTGCTCTGAATCCCAGTCGCCTTTTGAAATAACCTCACTTTTGGGTGGTGCTCCCTCAAAACGTTTAACAGCTCAATTTTTGGAGGATTTCTGGCTTGGCTCTACTTTGTCTTCTTTATGGATGCTCTAGGTAACCGCTGTTGTCCGTCAGTCTGTCCGTCCATTACGGGCTAGCAGAGAGAGCGGTTAAAGAGGCTTCCCTTGTAAAATATTGAGTAGACAAGCATTCTTTCCAATATGAAGTGAGTCCCTGAGGTAAGCATCGCAGCCAAGAGCCAACACACAATGGCTTCCAGAAGAGAAGCAAAGATGAGTTGCAGGAACTGTGCCTAGCGCTCTCGCTCACGTATACAGTTCTCTCTACCATCTCTCCATCTCTGTAAATCTCTCTCTCCTGGTGTAATAGGGTCCAGGTGAGCCAAAGTGTGCCAAAGTCATGGAATGTCTTCCTAGTACTGCCAAGTTCTTATTGGGAGCAATTGAAACTCAGTAGGCTTGGGCGGTATACCGTTTACAGTGCCTTGCAAAAGTATTCATCCCTCTTGGCGTTTTTTTCTATTTTGTTGCATTACAACCTATAATTTAAATTGATTTTCATTTGGATTTCATGTAATGGACATACACAAAATAGTCCAAATTGGTGAAGTGAAATGAAAAAAAATAACTTGTTTCAAACA